TTCTAGTTTAAATTACGATAGCTAATATACATGTGTTGACTTTGATAAGGAATTAGAAGTTAACATATTTTGTATTAAGGGTTACTTATTTCCCCCAAAACAGTTGTGAACGATTGTTTGATTCCTTCTGTAGCCAATATACCACTGTGGCTCAAATACTACAGACATAGGAACGATTATAGCGACTTAAATTGGTCATTAAAAGTTATGATATCACAGCGTTTTTTTATATTAAACAGATGGTTTAAAAAGTCATCCTGATTCCTGGTTGATTTATCCTTTTACTTCTGGACTTTAGTTGCACTTTATCTCGCACTGCTAATTTCACACCCCCAGACAGAAGAGGAAGTGGACATTAATTGCCCAACTATACTTTACCGCAGCCATGTGATCTTCTGAACTCAGGCCTCAGAAATAAAGTGTGATCAACTCCACGGTGCCTCTGACAGCGCTGTACAGATAATATGACAAGGAGGCAAGAAAAAGGGCATGGAGGTTTTGATGAATGTCTTTCCACACTGGATGCTCTGGAAGTCAGCCTTTGCAAATTGGCCCTCCGTTCCTCTGTCAGTCAAAATGGCACATCAGATGGCATGTTGAGCACAAAGGGAAGAGCGATTGTCTATTAGTGTTTAACAGCTCTGAGTGTGCAAAGCTGGCCTCAGCAAAAAGCGCTGACAGGTAACGGCGGGGTCGACATTGGCTTCAGAATAATGAGACCATATTTCCTCAGAACAATTAAATAATGAATGACGCAAAGAGATCTGGAGCTCAGAGGCGGCTTTCCACGCCAACAGCACAAAACAATCACATGGGGAATGTAACATAGCTCTTAAGAGCGCTGTGGGAAGGCTCTTGAACGCACCTCGCCTTGTAATTGTCCCGTTGATTAGCATCACGGATATTTGCCCCACATTCTCTCTCTAGTATCTAGTTGGTCTATATTTTGTCTTTCAATCAGGGATTCTTTTATGTGGGTCTTGATTTGGCTTAGCTCAGAGCACCAACCAAAATGTCTGCCCCAGTTCTGGTGCAGAGGGGAATTGCTCTCCTCTGACACCGGGCCCTGTTCAAGGGTCCGTTTCTATAGACTTTGTTAATGAGCCAGGCAGTCTCGCCATGCTTCAAAAGCTCACCACTGCATGCAAATTCAATCTGACCACCATTTTGGTTTGACTGTGAATCAATAAAGGGGCCGCACTATTGGAATTCTCTGGGCCTTGTTGCTTCCGATACCCTACACTTTGCCTCGAGACTGAAAGACATACACATAAAATACTTCTATAGGCTACTTCACATTAGGCCTGCAGAAAAACCTCCATTTAGAAGTAAACAGAATATAAAACATATTATGTTGTTAAAAGGTATGAGCATCAGACCAATAATAAGAGAGGTTCAATTGGGAACAAAAAAGTCAGTAAGCCCAAAGGGTTTAATATTAAATAAATCAATTATAAAGTCACAAATTAATTAGATTAGAGTGATTCCTTTTTTTTGGCAAAAAGAAAGTTATGCTCAGTGTGCAGGCTGTAAAATGTGCAATATAAAAACAGTTTTGGTTGTTCAGATTGTCCAAGTCAGATCATTTTTCAGTAGAAGGTCAAACTGTATAAAGTTAAATATTTTCTTAAGTGGGATCATTAATTTGTTTGGTTTATGTCTAACAACATGACTCCTGCATAGTGTCCTCTTAAAGTCCCACAATTATCAACTTTTTGTATTCTCCTATGCACCTGTGGATCTACAAGCCTACAGGAGTTCGGCTTTACTTTGTTGACCTGTGGAAAAGTTGGCTTGTTTTACAATATAAACTCGGCTGAGGGTCATTGTTTTGCTGGCTTGTAACCATTTTGTACAATATTTTGTTGTATATTCGAATCCCATTTGCGGTAAATCAGTTTAAACTACTTTGTCTAATAAGCTTAAGCCAACACTCACAAAGTTGTTCTCTACACTTGCTGCATTATATTAAACCATTCACAATCTTATCCATGCACATTGTAAGAAGGTGAAGTTGTGGTGGAAGTTCCTACTATGATTCTACAATGAACAAATAACTGTATTTCACTGTGTGTTTAGCAGCTCTATATGTAGCTAGCTAGCCAAGTAGCCAGTCTAGTTTGTGAGCTCGTTTTAATATTCAACATTAAAGTGAAGTAGGGCCGGCCCTCCCTACAGGCAGATCACGTGGAGTGTGTGGGGCCTCATCTTGTGGAGGGGGCCTCATCTTGTGCGCAAATGCGGTGCAATACATGTTGTGTGCAAATGCAGTGCTCCACAGTTTTCCCGCTGCGAGGCTCCGGCGCTAACAGCTCCACTAGCACCCCCCTTCTGTTCAGGGGCCCCAAGCAGTTGCCTGCGTTGCCTTCCGGCAAACGGCACCCCGGACCAGAAGGGGGCCCCCAAAGAAGGTTGATTAAATTGGTCCACAGCAACGACAACATGAAACCCCCTTTCATTTACTGCAGTGACATGTTGGGAAGGGGTATAGCGCGCCTTCAAAAGCTGCTTTATGATTTCAGTTTCGTAATCTCCGCTCCGCGTTTTGGGGGGCATGTCTTCTGCCTGGGGCCCCCAGAGTGTCTTGCAGCGCTACTGCTCGTCAACGCTCGCGACACTAGAGTGACGACTTGGGGGGGCCTCATGACAGAACTTTGCGTAGGGCCATACGTTGGCCAGGGGCAGCCCTGAAGTGAAGAGACGGCAGCAGCTAACATTAGCTGGTTAAGCTTTTCCTCACAGCTAGCTTCAATGAGCTAGCTAACACTGCTAATACTGGCTTTTCACTTACAACATTAATACAAGACCACAGCCTAGATAGATAGCCGGCTAGGCATTAGCAGTCATGTTTAGCTCATGTTAATGGTTGAGGAGGTGTTATTTTCTGCAGTAGCCTGTAGAAGGTGGATTCAGAGTAAGTTTGGCATTGTCGTTGCACAAGCTAACAGGAGCTAAACATTAGCTACATTCGTGAAAGCTGTTGATTGTGCTACTTAAATAGATACAGGGGACATGTGATTGGCTCAAAGGGGAGTGGACGGGGATAACAGCAAGAAGGAAACACAGCATGAACATCCCTAAAAACCTTGACATTAAGTTTAAGAAACATTATGAAATAACATGTCAAATGAAAAACAGGCATAACACATAACACTAAACGTGAATACAAATAATGATTATGAGACAAACTATTAAATATAGGCTATATGACATTTTAAATTATCAAATAAAATCATGAAATAAAATGATATCCAATAACACTCTAAGATAACAATAAGATTTATGGAATCGAAAATGTCATTATATATTTCATTATTATAATTACATTCTGAAAATGTCTCCAACAATTCTCCATGGAGTTCGTTCATTTATTTTTCATTTGACAGAATGTATCCATATGTTTAATACATTTTCATGTATGTATTTAAAATGAGAAGGAACTCATTTAATCTTTAATCAACTCTTTTCTTTACTATTTAAAAAAAAAACATTTCAGTGATGGCTTCTCCCGAGAAATATGCAAAAACATTTTTTTTTTTGCACAGTGGGGAGAGAAAAAAAATGGGTTTTGATTGACAATTTTTATTGCAAAATGTTATTTATTAATTACAAGAGTCTCTTGAGGCAGAACAAAATATTGCAGTTTACAGATTATATTCAGAATGATGACAGGGTGTCGGTGCACTTTGACAGAGCTTGTTCAACTCTACTAACTCACCTGTCACCACGACTTTTAGTCCCATCGGGGAGAGATCCTGAATTATTTACCAAATATTATGTAAATGGAAATTATTGCCATTTCTTTCATGGAGAGTGCTCCTCACACCCTAGAGGGTTTTTGTCAATTTGAGGAGACTAATGATGAAGTTTTATTGGTGTTCTTGATGCAGCTGGAAACCGTGTTATATTAACACCATCAATTAACACCATAAATGAACCCTTTATATTTCTTTCCAAGGAGTGTTTGCTTGATTTGGTACAAACAATATACATTCATGTATATTAATGACTTAAATATTCGGTCACTCACTACCTGACGTGCACTTCCACAGGTGAAGCTTGCAGCATTTAACAACTTTTGTAAAAATATGACCATATGTGTCACGATTCTCATGTTATGTCACGTTTATAGTTTTGTAGGTTTGGGTGTTTTTGCTGTTTTCCATGTCATGTTTTCCTTTGGGTTATTGTCTTGTCATTAGTTTCCCTGGTGTGTCTAATTGTCTGATTATGTTCACCTGGGCCCCTGTGTTTTCTCCTCCCTCCTCACCTGTGTCTTGTTGTGTGATTAGTCTTGTGTGTATTTAAATTCTGGGTTGTCTGTCTGTCTTGGTCGGTTCGTCTTGTTCCCTGACTAGTTCTGCGGTGAGTGTTCTGTTTGTCATTGTACATATATATCATAGCCTTGAAATAAAGGAAGTTTCCGTTTATATCTGCATTTGGGTCCTGCTTGTTTCACAAACCGTGACAGTAAGAACCGACCTGAAGAAATGGGCCCAGCAGATCCGTTCGAGTCGGAATTATTAAATGTTTCCTTTTTTTTGGCTAACTGCTCGGAGCGATGGAAGAGAGCACCCGGGGGTCAGCAGCGAGAGGCTGTTCGGGCTGAGGCACACCANANGTCAGCCTGTCAGCCTTCCATCTGTGCACACATTTATCTCGTGCCCTCATTGGTCATGTGCGCGTTCGTGTGTGTTGGAGGAGGGGCTCTGTAAGGATTCCTTACAGAGCCCCTCCTCCAACACACACGAACGCGCACATGACCAATGAGGGCACGAGATAAATGTGTGCACAGATGGAAGGCTGACAGGCTGACNTCTCAGCCACTGCCACTGAATCAAAGAGCCTCGGCAAGACAAGAGGCAAGACCTCTCTCTCTCTCCTCTCCGGCCCGCCTCCATCTCTCTCTCTCTCTCAGAGAGAGAGAGAGAGATGGAGGCGGGCCGGAGAGGAGAGAGAGAGAGGTCTTGCCTCTTGTCTTGCCGAGGCTCTTTGATTCAGTGGCAGTGGCTGAGACAACCCCGTTACCGGCCACCGTTAACCCGGTAAGTCGTCTTCATATTCTCCCTTTCTCTCTTTTTTATTTGACTATTTAATGTGTTATCTCTTGAGAAATTAAATAGAAGTTAATGCTCCGTTTCCACGCTGGAAGTCGGATGAAAGAAAGTTAATGCGTAAAATAAAGGTGAATGAGACGAAACAACGCTCCACGGCAGAATATGTGTAGTTCCAGTGCAAACCAGGAACCCTGACTGTGTCTATCACTTACTTAAACAACCTATTTTATGTTCAAAGACTAAATAAACTTGAAATTGATTTACTTTGCATCCATAAAGCCACATGGAAACTCGGATGCTGTCCAAGGTGCTGAGTGTGTTTAGCTCTACAATGAGTCCAGTTTGTGGCAATTACGGATCCAAATTCGTCTATTTTTATAATGCCAGCTTGCTAAAAAAGTTCCTCGTGGAAACTTTACCTATCATATAGTCCTATTTGATCAACTAAATCCCTCTCTACATGCTTTTCTTCTCCACAGGGTAACTACGACCCTCGATACTCAAGCTCAACAGCTCATGGTGAAGATTTCTCAGAGGACATCGCGTCTTCATCGCGTCTCTGCAGCCCCTATTTGAAGAGGACATTTGGCAATAGCGAACTTTTATTTAAGAAAACAGATTTACACTGTATGACAAAGTCAGAAGATGCTTTGTGTGTCTAAAGAGCGCAAATTATACCACATCAAAGCATATAAGAGCGTCAGTGACAGCTTGGCACATACAGGAGTACCTGCGATGAAGAAGCCCGCAAGAAGCTCCACGCGGTAAAAAGTGGAAGAGTGATACTGAGAGCAGACAGAAGTGCGTGGAGGCCAAAGAACAGACACCAGCGAGTCCTCAAATGATGGGGATAAAACACCTTCTGCTTCTTTTGATTTACTTAGACCCGCTGAATGTCCTGTGCACCGCCACCAACAACAAAAGAAGCAAAACCCCGACAAATAGGAAGCCAAAGGTGAAGGACCTGAACGGCAGCACCACCGCGGTCCCGCTGGCCGTGGCCGTCCCGGGGAAGATCACCCAGGTCCAGGCTCCCACGGTGCAGCACGACACCTGCCTGGGCTACTACGACGTGAGCGGGCAGTTAGACAAAGAGTTCAGCTGCAACAACACCGACCACCGCTTCTGTTGCGGCAGCTGCTTCTTGCGCTTCTGCTGCGCGGACCGGGGGAAGCGGCTGGAGCAGAAAATCTGCACCAACATCAACACCCCGGACTGGATCAAAACCCAGCCCCCCTCCCCGGCGCCAACAGGTGATACCTACGACCCGGAGCTAGACCAGACCAACACCACGGTGTACATCACCTGCGGGGTCGTAGCGCTCATCATTGCGATTGGGATAACTGCTAAAGTTGCCTATGATAAAGCCACCAAGCCCCCTCAGGAAATGAACGTGCACAGGTAAGAATTTGCTGAAAAAAACCTTATAAAATGTCTATGCAGAGCATAATGTCACAACATAAAGGTAACCAGTGTATAAATACTTGTACTTATTTTTACAATAAAACGAAATGCTATTATCTGAGAAAAATACTGTCACACAATAGTATATATATATATATACATACTGTTTAGCACTCATTTGACCAGTGAGTTGATCCCATTTTTCTCTGAGTGTAAAAACAGTTCCCTACAATAGCCATAAAGTAAAGATCCATCCTCAACTGCAGCCTAAATAACTTACAGCCTCAATATCATGGGTTCATTGAAGCTCATGACCTTTAGCACATACCATTACTCTGCTCCCCGGAGCCTAACCGTAAAAAATGTCAAGATTATATACCTTTCCATGATACACAACCCACTCTGTGTCAATCCCAGGAGGGAGAGCGCGGGGTATTCTGTGTCCGTTCAACCCTAGAGGGATAGAGTAAATGCCACTGAAAGCCATATGAGTGATCACATTCATCCTGATGGGAGTGGTCTCTTCTGTCTATATTTCTAAATCCTCAAGGCACCAGTAGTGGTCAGTGAATTGCTTGATAAGCGTTAAAGCAACATAAAAACCCATCGTTTGGCCATTTCAGGCACCAGCTGAACAAATTGCTACATAATGATGTAGAGAGCAGACTCCAGGCAATATCTCCACCACCATCAGAACACAAAATGGTTTCTTAATGTTGGCAATTATATGCGTTATCTGCACTTGTGTCCTGAAACAAAACACCCGGAAGAGCCTTGTGAGTCAAGATTTGATTGTGTCTCTATAGATTTATGCTGCAACTCCATTGCTTGCCAAAGAAACATCAAATCACTAAATGATGCTCTTCGAAGCTGTTGATAAGCTTCATGGAAGAATAAAGGATTTCATGACACTACAAATGATGCCAAGAGATTTCACGAGTTATTGCTGCATTCAGGCAGTTATTGTAAAACTTGGTATGAAATCCAAAGTAATTTCTTAAGAACTGTGTGGGCTTGCTTTGATTGACAGAAGGCTTACAACAAGCAAGCAACCGCCTAACTGTACATTTTTTTATCTAAATGGTGCAGAATCTGGTCGGTGAGCATAACTTTCCCATTTTAGCCACGCCCACTTCAAACCAGAGAAAAAAGCGCAAAAAAACAAAAATATTTTCGAGGCTTTAAAGGTGGATGAATATTGTCATTGAGCTATATCAAATACTTGTAATTTTTTTAACTAAAAACATTTGCTGGTTTTAAGTTCCCAAATGTGAGTATGTTATGCTTTTAATTTATCTTTTACAATAGCTAAAATGTATTAGGTCAACCAAAGTAATTCAAAGATGGCCACCTTGGCTGTAGGACTCCGGGCAGCTTTCTTGTATCTTTTACAACAAATGCCAGTACCTTTTCTGGCATTGAGTTGTGTGTAATGTGTAGAAAAGCCTATGGCAAGGTTTGTGTTTGGTTTATACCATTATTTGTGTGGGCTTATACATTTTCAGTTTGGCTCAGTGGTCAGGATACATGTTTTCATCCTGTTGCCTTTGGTTTCTTCGTGCAGTTTAAAGACCTTTACTGCTTCTCTATGCTGTACAACGCTGGACCTTAACTTCCCAGGCTGTCTTGTGCGTGATGCACGCTGGGATACGATCCACCCACACCAAAGCAGACATTGAAAAAAATATTTAAAAGGTATAAATGGGTTTTAGATTTTGATTAGGTCTGACTCCAATTTGCCACCCGCTGGTGGAGGACAAAATCACAGTCACTTAGTCATTGCCCTTATCAAAGAGTCACTTGAGTCACCTGCCATTAGCCAGACTGTATTCTGGGCCAGAGGAGGACGTCTTGCGTAGATTTAAGGATAAAAAGATAATTGAGCATTGTTACGCCGCGGTCATTGAATTGTGACACCTGCTGCTTTGAAAAAAATGTCTAGAAGGATTACTCAGCTTTCTGAGAAACGAAATCACACGGTCCTGATGATAAGAAAGGAAAGCTGTCCAATTTCTAACCCAACACAAAGGAGCTCCTTTAGTAAATCACACATAGATCAAATTCAAGCTCCAGTGATCGCTCTGAGTGTCTTTTCAGAAGTTGGCACAGTCAACTTTTAATATCCTTATGGACTCATGAGACTTTATAATACAGTATTTCATTTGAAACAACAAAAAAGAACAATAAAGCTCATGATGCAGAGCTTTTTCCAATTCTGCTCTGAAGAGATGGTGAAGTTTATGACTTCTTACTCAGCTACAATTCTTGCAGGGCATACTTTCAAGTGGATCTGCTTATGATCCCGCTTCATTATGAGAAGAAGCCATAAGGGTTTAGAGAGAGGTTGTTTAAATGAGAAGGCATGGCTTGCTGAGTGCTCAATAGTGTTTATTATTTTTCCTTTTTATAATTATTTTTATATTGCCTACCGTTTGGCACATAGAGCAGTCGTAATGATTTCTGCTTGAATAGACCTCAGAGACATTCATGCTGACAGCCGTGACCAAGAAGAAGTAGTGGAACATGGGATTTGCTTTCTATTTGGCAAGGGTCTGCTCCTAAAAGTGGTTACTTCTCCATTGTAATTTAGACTCTTACCTCTGCGTCTGAGTGAGGACTGTGAGCAGAATACTGAGCTGTTGGCAGACCTTTGCGGTTTCGGTCTGTGACCTTCACCGAGAACAAGAAATGCAGAGTGAGAGCTAAAGCCAGTGGTTTGAACAGGCTCTATTGATCACTCTCCACAGATGCAATTTTTGTGGGCTAGGTGGTGTGAATAATGCTTTGTTCTCTGATTGCAGGACTGAAAAACTGACTTAAAAGGCAAGACGACTGAATGGGCAAATGACTGAAAGTTCATTGCATAAGAGCAACAAAGCCCAAAGATTGTATTAGTAGATTATGCTTTAACACCCGCTGATTTAAGCTTACATTTGGTAGTACACTGGTATCACCAAAGGATAGATGTCAGAGCATCAATGTCTTCCATTTCATTACATAATATTTCCACAAAGTAAAGATAGGTTTTATTTTTCTCATCTTTTCATTAGATTGAAAAATATGTTGGCCTTATCTTAAAAGGTTGGAAGTACATTTTTTTGGTCAAGAAATCCCCAAAAAGGAACAAAACCAACAACGCCTGAGTCCATTTCTGTCTGTGATTTCCCAACCCACAGTACCAAGCTATGGTCCCAACTCAGACATGAGAAATAAACCCTTACAAACGTTTCATCAACATAGAATTCATTCATTCATTTCAAATTGCTTGGCACTGTCATGTAAGCGACAATTGTCAATGTTAATCAAACAGGATGAGATAGTGAATTTGTTTGGGGACTATTTTCAGCGGCTAATTAATCCAGATTGGGCGCTTTTGAAACATTTGAATTGGCCATTATGCTGTCAAAGATGGTATAATAACTTTGAAAATGTGTATTAGTGTTGACCCCAACAATACAGTGATCAGGATTATAAAGTTGTTTGTAGTTATTCGGCCAAATGTTACACTTTCTTTTTAAAACACATGTTGATAGTTGGTCCTGTTTCTGCAAACAACTGTAGCTCTTGCTGCACACGACGTAGCAGCCAATTGGGACGATGCTAAATCAGGTCGCCCCTGTCTGCGAAAAAGAAACGGCTAAAGTGTGCTCATCCTGGAAGGAAAATGCTATTTATATACTGCATATCTCCCAAAGTCACAGAGTTATGGAAAACTAGAATGTGTGGTTGCTTTAGGTTGACTTTGACACAGTTAAATTCTCCTTTCATTTCCTTTAAGAAAACTCAGAAACTCTATCACACAGGCTGACACTGTGCCTTCAAATGTTGGAATTGGGGTTGGTAAAATATTGCTTTTGCTGTATTTACTGGCCCCAAAGAAGAGACACTGACTTGACTCCTAATAAATGTGCCCTGAGCGCGAGTCCGGCTCACATAATAGGACTCTCCTGTACCTTGTGTACCGCACTATTGAACATTCAACTCTCTTGTGACTCTGGTTATAATTTGGATTTTCTCTAAGCCTTTCTTCATTCCTCTATGATTCAAATTGGATCCGTAGATAAATAAATTAGAAAGACCTTTAGGGGAACATGATGAAAAAAGTGGAAGGTAAATGGGAAAGGGAAACATTTCAGTGGACAGAGATTTTCTTTAATTACAATTAAATATTTTATATTTGTTTGATTGCTTTCCAGAGCCCTGGCAGACATCCTGAGGCAACAAGGACCAGTTCCAATATCTCAGTATGAACACGAGAACATTGCAGCGATGGACGGGTCACCTAAAGACGAGACGCCGGTCAGAACCTTGAAGAATCACTACACACCTGTTCACGCCAAGGCACCGAACCACGGTAGGTGACACTGCTCAGGTCTTATACAGATGTTTTAAAGGCCAAGTGACCTGTCTTGTATGTGGCTTCTACTGCATTCCCATAAAAAAAGGAATCCAACTTTATTTTTTACGATAATAAAGCCCCCCTTCGCTTTGATTCACGTCCATGGATATAGCTGGACGGGCTGTGAATCTTAAGCTTTTCCTCTCAATCTTTTTTTAAAAGGAAACACATAAGAAATTACTAGGAGAATTAAAGGCAAGGCTATGGCTACATTCTCATCTCCTATAAGCCTACTCAGCACTGGCACAAAATTGAGATGTAAATGATCATCTTCTGCGGGAGACGCAAGCTTTTGTGCAGTGCTAATTCTGTCGTGCAACAATGTTCCTCTTATTTTATCCGGTCGGGCTCCAGATCCCCGCTCTAGGCATCAAGTCGTTTGCTAAGTGCCCTTAGTATGGTGTCCCAGATTCAACAGTGTTGTGTTTCACTCTTGTGTCACCCGGCCTGCGTCCACCCTCCTCTCCACCACCACCACCATGGAGGGAATGTGTCAGTGGAGAGCTACAGACTGTACTGAACTGCAGGATGTGAGACACTTTCCTCACTTTTCTGCAGCCGAGTGACTTTTAAAACATTCGTAATCAAGCTGCCCAACCAAGTAGAACACCTCATTCTTGGTCAACAATCTGTTTTTTTTTAACATTGCCCAGGTTCAAAATGTCAAGTGAGAAATGGGAGGAATTATTTTGAGATTTTGGGAAGTTTCTTTAGAACCTCTTATATCCAACCGTTATTGATGGTGAATGTAGGCAATTAAAGCGATGTGTTTTTTAGTGCACGCTGTATGGTCCGTGAAAGCTGTGCTCCGTTGCTCCTCCTGCTGGTAATGTATTGTTTTTATTGCACATTAGTTTTTGTAAGCCTGGACCATAATGCAAATGATGAACTAAAGTGATGGGGACCTCATAACATGTTGTATTACTTGCTGTTAAAGGCCCGTCTTTGAGACTGGTGGGTCCTCGAGATATAACATCGAAATGACTCTATTTTGAGAGCATATGCCATAATACTAGATCAAGTTACCACAAACTCGGGTTGTGGTGGGAGGCTTTGGGGGTGTCAATGAAGACCCACAGCTCATCGCTCCCCCCAACACATAAAAGAAGGACGATGTCAGCTTACTACCCAAATTGATTGGCAGCCAATTTAATGGAAAGACATTTGAAGAAACATCATATACGTAAATGTTCAGCAACCAAATGTAAATAGCCAATACCAAATAACATGTTACCAGTTTGCAATCACACCCGCTCCAAATCATCCACATATAAGCATGTAGAAAATACATTGTAATGAGCTGTAATGTGTCGCCTAGACTTTTAGTATTACATCTCTGAGAGCATATGGGGTTTCAGAAAAGGAACAGGCTATTTTATTCAAAGTGCATGGCCTTTTAGATTTGTGTAAACAGCGCTTTTGCCTGGTTCTCATTTCTGTGTAGTCATATTTGTAACTTCAGTGTAGAGCATAGTGCCTGGCAAACATCGTCACCCTGTGTGATTCACAAAGCCACACATTATTGTTTTGGATATAGCGCCCACAGAAAAGATGTCTTAATTGTCCAATCTTTGTCATGTCACCCTGCTATTGTTTGCGGCATGCACAGTAGGATGTCACATTGCAGGGGTGAATGCTTTTGAACAGAGAACCCTTCAGAAAGGAAGGGATGGAGGCACTACAGGGAGGACGTGAGTCAGATTTTGTGACCAATTCCTGACTGTGATGTTCATTTAATAATGGAGATGACAGTTTATTTTGGTGGAGAAATGGTTAAAGCATTCAAAAGACAATTTATGGGTATTAAATAACCGTTGTTTTGGCTTCTCTTAGTAGATGTCAGTGTTACTACTAAAATGTTCTTACATTTTGTCAATCTTTCACTTTGAAAGCCCATTCAGTTTGAAATCTGTTTTAAAACTAAGGTTGGAATCAAGGTAAGGTTAAGGTTAGGGGTGAGCAGTAGTGGAACAAGTTCAGAAAGATTCAGATTCTTTACTTGAGTAAAAGTACTAACACCACATTGTAAACATACTCAATTCCCAGTGAATTACTGCATCAAGAATGGTACTTAAGTAAAAGTATTAAGTAAGATTAGGATAATGTACTTATTAGTAAAAGTACTCATTGCAGATAAAACTAAAATAATATTTAAATATTTGAAAACAAAAGCAGCAAATCTTCACATTTAATAAGCTGGAAACTTTTCAACCAAAAATTGCTCCAATTCATTTTCTGTTAATCCACTCATGGTGTTAATGTCTTATATATAATGGTGGATGGTTTAATCCATATCAAATAATCATATTTTAAAAGTTTACCCTTAGTATTGTGTGTTAAAATCTGGATTAATAAAGATACTACTAAATAATTATAGTTGTTTTGCATAAAGTATTCTCAAATGAAAATACTCTGGTAAAGTATAAGTACGGTACCTTAAATGTGTACTTAAGTACAGTACTTGAGTGAATGTACTTTCTTCAACTGGTGGTGAAGAATGATGACAACATGTCCTATAGTCAAAGCAGAAGACTAACCCCCAGCCCTTACCCATTTTCAGAGCAGGGAGTTACAATATGCAGAGGATGTCTCTTTTTTTCAAAGTAAGTACATTTTAAAAGCAGAATAGATGAATAGCACAATTTAGACGTTTCTGTTAAACAGCTTCTGCTTTATTATGCAGTACCAATATTTTCGTTTTTTTGTTTTCAGCAACATAAATAAGGCACAGCTGGCCACAAAAAAAGAAAAGTGTGGCATTTTTTAATTGAAGGCTCAGGGTGAATTTCCAGGCAGCGTTTTCTTTGCCCTCAAGGTTTTCATTAAATAGAAAGGTTTGGTAATAAAGGGATTAAACATATATTTAATAAATGTGTTTCCAATCAATATTTCATGTTTAAATCCTTTTGTGAAAGGTGCAGTTCACCTCGCTGGGTGGCCTTTATGAGGGGAGTCGGCGGCTACATTGAGTCCTTGGTTTGAAAACATCTCTTGGGTCACACCAACAGATCCCATTTAATAGAAGAAAAATTATAGATTTGAATCGATTTTTTAACATAGCAGCATAAAGCAAAATAAAATATATTGGTTCTGCCACAAGCTCACTTAATTGGTCCTATACAGTTAGTATCCTTTTTATTACTGAAAACTGAAGTGCTCCAGATTTAGCCAACATGCTATTTTGTGACTGTAGTCCCTGGACAGTCAATACATTGATTATAAACCTGCAACATAGAGGTTCACACAACTGTAAAAAAAGAGTCTCACTCTTGAAGGGGGGAGAGAAAATCCCTCTTCAATGGAATTATGGGATTTTAGATTTGGTGTACTATTTACATGCACAGAAATATAACACATAAAAGGGAAGGGAAAACCCCCACAAGCTTAAAAGGGCCTCTTTAAAGATAAACCTTTTTATGTTTAATACACGAACACTTTCACATAAACTCCTTCCCTGCATGACTTTTGAGCAGATTTATCTCTTAACTGTTTACTTTCCCTAAAGGCCAATTAGAATATTACTTCATAAATTTAACTTTTATCCAGAGATTTGCGTTTTATCTCCCTTCGCCCTTCATGTGTGATGAAAAACTTTAATAGCGTGGTTATGCTCTATAAGAAAATATGGGATATTCTTTCATTTTGAAGTGTGGATAATGCAATTAGAGGAACATTTGCAGAGATAATAAGGGGGCAATAGGTTTATGTACGGCGATGTAGGATCAATTTATATCACAATCAGTGTCTGCAGCTACCTGCTCTCAGCTCCACGCTACTGTCCTTGGAGTATGCAGAGGTTATATATCATCTGTATTTCACACCGGGAGCCATCATACATACTGTATAAGCCTGTACTGCATCATGTGCATAGATACTGCCCTGTACCGTTCTTTTCATGTTTCTTTCGAAGGTCCCGCATTAGCCGAGTTGAGTTCGTAGTCATCCCTTGGGTTTGATGAAAAGGAACAAATGAGCTGTGGGGCTCAGGCCTGAGTGCCAAGCTGAGATGTGATGAAGACCATCTCTAATGGTCCCAGGTGTTTCTTCTCATTATGATAATTTGAAATGCTGTTCAATATCGGCTTCCCAAGGCCCACAGGTCTGAGTGATGTTATTGACTTTGAAGTGGTTCCTTTGAGAAAGAGGCATTTCACTGTTCGCTAGTTAATGTAGAGAGGGGAAAACGGAGAGAAAGAGAGGAGAGGTTTGAAAGAGCAACCTTTCTTTGTTGCTGTTATCACCGACACTACATTCCTTCATTTCTTCGTAACACTTGTCCGTGATTGACAGGACAATTGAACGTTTTAGGGGTGCTGGCAGGCACCTTGTCTCCCTGCTTTGTGTTCAGACCGCACTCTCAATTACAGCACTGGTTCAGAGTGGAGTTAGCATTGATGTGGTACAAATTGCATTACGGAGTGGTCTTTTAACACAGGGGAAATCCAAAATGGTGTAGCGGCATCCTGAAAGACTTTTGGTTTAATTCCTTCTAAAACAAAGTGTATCCAACCACAATTAACTTGCTTTTGAGGAGACAAAAGCACTGCTATTTTATTTTTCAATGATGTTTAATACTTTGCTTTCTGTGAGGAGAGGAGTGTTTGATAAATTGGGTATATGAAAACCCTAAAACCTGCAGATTGCATCTCTTGCATCCTTAAGTGATAAATATTGACAAGAAGATCCAATAGGAGAGTCGCTCTGGTGCCATTTCAGCCCTGTTTAGTATTCTCCTCGTCTATGGCTACTCCTTTATATCATGGCAGATATGACCAGAGAATTGAGCACAGATTCTTGTCAGTGCTGAGGCCCAGTCATTCAAGATTATAAATTGGTGACATTTCTTTGTGAATTCCTTGTGACGAAACGATCATCATTGCTCATGTTGCTGAAGTGAATCCATCTTTACATTGAGTTTAACAATGCGTTGCATGTTTTTTTTTACAAATTCTGTGTGACCACTTCAGATTTTCTGTTAGAAAATATCTTTAATGATACAAAGAAACTTGGGGCTCTCCAGGACGTTGTTCAATGAAATAGCCTTTATGTTTTGGCCATCGGTTTTAATTACCACAGTTTGCCTCTAACAGGGTTAATCCTAACCCTTACATATGAATGTATAGAAAGAGAACTGGATACAGCGTCGGAGACCGGTCCCCATTCATTCCAAGGAGAGCTAGTCAGTGGCGCGTGAAGCCAAAATGGCCTGACTCTCGAGAACTAAAATACCTGGGTCATCCCTTGATCTTCTGGCAATTGTCTTAAGTAGTTAATTCACCTAAAAACATGTATCCACTGATTTATAAGCATCTGTTCCCCAATGGAAGTCAATGTTAAAAAGTATTTTTCTGCCCAATGACATAATTGACTGACATGGAAGTTCTTGTACCACTGTTTTAGCTTCAACGCACAGCACTCTTCATCTTACTGGCTTGAATGTTAGCCATCTGCTGGCCAGATATGGTTCACTAACTATCCAATATTTTAAATGTGTCACCAAGTCTCAAACATCAGTCATATCCCAAGGACACGGATGGTTTTCTCTGTCCTCGCCTCTATGAGAAGGGTTTATCAACATACTGTATACCCTCTATGCCAGGGGTATTCAACTAGATTAGGAAGGGGGCCACAATTGTAAAATGTCTTGAAGGCGAGGGCCACAAGACTGACAATGAAAATGAACAAATGCCATTGTTATTGTACAACCAACCATGCAATAATAAATTATTATTATTATTATTATTGATATTGTTATTATTATTGTAGTAGTAGTAAAATAGGCAACCAAAATAGTAATGTAGGCTACTGTGGCAGATTTGTGGTCTGCTGCGGAATATAAGGAGGGAGAGCGAGACGCAGTCGGGTAAACGGATATTTATTTCACACAAGGTTCCCGAGGTGGCTAAAACAGAACAATCCCTCAACGGGCAAATGATAACTGGCAGGGGTCTGGATTCTCGTCCTGGCGTAACGTTCGTCTTTCCGTCTGTCCGCCAGTCTCCTACTGAGATTGAGAGAACAATCACAACACGTGGTAAATACCAGCCACGCATCCCTATCATTCTAATCACCAGGACAGCTTACGTCAATCCCCAGGCAATTACGTCCGCGCCTCTGTTCCTTAGAACCTCCTTCCCTGTGCTCTTAACACACACTGGCATACCCCGCATCCCACACACCACACCGCTACTAAACCACATATACGATGCTACGACCTTACCACAGCTCTGTATTATAAATGAATCCATATAGATTTGTGTATTATAACACCCAAATGCTGGGTGCAACAAATACCAGAAAAACTGCCTAGGCCTAGGATAACACAGATTGCGATCAGTGAAGACACAGAGGCAAGAGGCCTGAGTACAGCGAGATTAACAAAGATGCAACATATAGCAGGCGTCCCATCATTACAAAATAAATGAAAATAGCAGCTACCCTTGACAATCAGTGTGTGAGTAGCATTTCCGAGCATAGGCAGTTTGCTGAATTCAGGTCGGTGCGACAGAGCAAGCGTGCGCTGGGCTTGAGATGTTCATTCCGTGAGTCGATTGCGATGTTGATTCTTTATCAAGTTCATTGTCGAAAATCCGGACTCGCATATGGTAAGTAGATCCAAACATGGTTAACAGGTAGATAGCCAGTCTCGGCAGTGATGAAACTGATGAGTAGAATGAGCCCAAAACTCGCACAGTTCCCTCTTCTCCGAATTTTGCTTTCAGCACATCAGAGCTCTGAATTTGCACCAAACTCCAGCTGGAATGCAGCTCGTCAGTTGCCAATACGGGCATCACGCTTTCGGCCTCGGCTGGACAGGAGACACCGGAAACATCGACAGCAAATGGATTGCGCGCACAAATAAAAGAACCTGTTTTGGAATCTTGAAGGTCGTTGAATCGCTCTGTGAAGTTTTCAGCCAGCTTTTCAAAAGTCCCTTCATTCCCAGCCATTGCTGCGCTGCTCACGGGGGACGTTGCGTAGTGTGGGAAGTGGATCTTCCTCCCCATTACGTCAGGTAGAAAGAGGTCCAGGTTCACCCGAAACGCACTAACCTTCTCAATGATCTCAGCCACACTTGACCCTCCCCCCTGTAGCTGCAGGTTGAGTGTGTTTAGGTGGCCCATGATGTCGCACAAAAAGGCAATCTGTGCAATGAAATCCGGCTTTTGCATGCGTGCAAGTAGGTCTTTAGCTTTGCTTGATTTCTGGCTTGAGAGGAATTCACTCACCTCCTTTCGCAGTGCAAAGAAACGTTCGAGAACACGTCCTCGGCTCAACCAGCGGACATCGTTATGTTGCAATAGGTCTGAGTATGCGGCTTCCTGCTCTTTAAGCAGCATTTTGAACAGTCGGTGCTGCAGACCTGACGTCGAGCGAATATGATTCACAATTTTTACGACAGTCTCCATTGTTTCTTTCAACTCCCCTGACAATTTCGCACACAGAACTGATTGATGTATGATGCAATGCAGTGTGTTCACTGTGGGATGCTCTGCACATAAGCGAGATGCAAAGCCCCTTTCTTTCCCAATCATGGACGGGCAGCCATCGGTAACGAGAAGGTTGATCTTACCTAGATCCAAACCTTTCTATTCAAAAAAACTCCAAACTGCAGCGAAAATCACTTCACCTGTAGTGCTGGTTGTCAGTGGTAAAAGGCATAACAACTCCTCTTTAAAAACGTCACCATCGAAGTACCTCACAAACAGCGAGAGCTGTGCCGTATCTGTTGCATCGGTCGATTCATCGACAGCGAGTGACATGTACTCTGTCGATTTGAGATCGGCAATTAATGCTGAAAAACAGTCCTCAAACAGTACCTCTACTCTTCGATTTCCCGATGTGTCAGAGAGCGGTACTTGCTTCAAACGGTTCATTATATATTCCTTGTTTTTATCTCCTGCAAAAAGTTCATCCACCATCTCAAGAGTACACTCCTTCACAACTTCAGCGTCAGTGAATGGCTTTCTCTTTTTGGCTAAAGCGAACATCACTCGTAGGGAAGCAGCAGTGGTCTTTTCCTGGGCTGTGGAAGCAGTTGTAAGAATAGTGGTTGATGCAGTGTAAGAAGATTTAAGTATTTCTATTTTACCACGTCTAGCTGTGCTACCAGGCGGGTAAGCAGCATTGAAGTTAGCAGCATGCTTGGTCTCATAGTGGCGCCTCACATTAGCAACCTTGCAGACTGAAATAGTTATTTGACATATTAAACATAAAGGTCTAGGATTGGCGTGCGATGGTAAAATAAATACAAAATCATCAGTCCATTTGGGGTTGAAGTGTCGGTTTTCACCGTCAATTTTCCGCCGTTTCTCTCCGCTCATTTTGGATCAGTAACGAGAGTAACGAGATTGACACAATATCGCGATAATTACACGCTGATCAGTCCAATGCAAGATTGCCTTTTAAGAGCTATTGAAGGAGAAATAATTTGGACTCATTTAATTCGGATAACATAATAGCGAACATATATTTACATTTATTTAAATGATTATAAAAATAAATTCTGTAATTAGTATTTTTTTTTTATATTGGAATATGGAGTGCGTTCCAGGGGCCACGAGAAAGCTCCCCGCGGGCCGGATTTGGCCCGCGGGCCGCCAGTTGAATATCCCTGCTCTATGCCATCTTGCTGAAATATTCATTTTCCGCTTTTGCTCTGTCTCATCAGGACACTATGGCAAAGAAAATCTACGCAGCGGAGGCCAAGACATGCACAACTTCATCTCCTCTGGGTTTGTGACACTGGGACGTGGCCACTTGAAAGGTAATTGCTATAAACTCTCTGTGCAGCTCATCAGTTTCATGCTCTGTATTGCAACTATATTACACTGCATGGTCCCTATCGCATTCAGATTCCAAGCCCATCCTCAACCTCATCCTCCTCACTTCACAGTGTCCTGAAAACCAAGTTCAGAATAACAATAATTTAACTCACAAAGCCACTGTGTCATGCTGTCGTTCTCCCTCTGCCAAATGGATGTAGTAAAAAAGAAAACAGTAACGTGACTGTGACTTTTGTTTCAGCTCAGTGGAAGTTGTACATAACAATACATAATGGCTTGAAGTGACATCTTGCAAAGTCCACACGCACACATTTATTATCTGTGATTAAATCCACACTTCCACTGACAAAGTAACACTTCCGCCAGTGTGAACGCAGCATGGCACGGTAGTAGTGCTCTCCGCTCTTGTCTTCCTTTGGACTTTTAATGAATCCGAAGCGGCGTTGGGGTGAGAACGAGCTGTAAACAAGAGGCCTGTTGTTGTGTTTTTACAGCGCAGCACTCCATAGACGAATCGGGGCAGATGTCCTGGCAGGGCGATCTGGACATCCCCCTCTCCTATGGTAAGATCCACTTTCTGACCAAGAAAAAGACTCGCAACCTGCTTTCTGCTCGCACCTGATAAGAAAAAGTCACACACCCCCACACACACACAGTCGAGTGCCCTTGGCCGATTATCCCAGCGCAGTCATTGGGTTCAGACTCTAAGAGCTGTAATATTACTTTCTTTTCTGTTGGTGGTTTTATGAGCAAAAAGTATTTTTACCGGTGGAGTCTGACAGCAGGTTTCAATGAAAGCAATGGCCATACAGTCGTATCGATTATTTATGGCTTTTATGGACGGGTCATAAACAGTTTTACAGTTCTGACGTGTGTGCAAGGTAAGTGAAAGTCTGATTTAAACGCTCAACTTGAAAGATTCTGCTGTGTTTGAGAGCCACCATCCCAATATGTATTAGTTTATGGTAGTGTATTTTGCAGAAATCGTAAATCACAGTATTAGTTTTAGATATTGAGGTTTTTATTGGGCTGAACAGAATCTTTTACATACATTTGAGGTCATGTTTCACAATATTTACACTTATTTAAATGGTTGACAAAAGAGCAATTCATTTTTTCAAAAACTGAAATTATGTGGACATGTTTTTCTAAAAAATATTAATTAATCCAACTTCCCTCAGGACTCTTTATTGTTTTTGAATTGTATTTTTTCCCATCAGGTTTGTGTAGCTTTTCTGAGTTCTATACTGTTATGACAGTTTGTTGCCCGCATGTGCAGTTGCTGCTGTAAGTGACATAAATATCCAGAGAATGCTTCGCCCCAAAAGGGTTGTTGGAAGAAGTGGATTTTATTAAATTGATGACAGCTTTATTTTACAGTATCAGGATCTGTGGCAACAATCATTGTAAGTGGAAGTTTTGCAGGGGAAAAGGGGTTTGCCATAAAATACTTGATGTCGTAAAGAAAAAGGCGTGCACACATTTGATCAATTTTGCTTTAACTATAAACAATCTCTTCCAGCACATATAACTTGTAGTTATCATACGTGACTTTAACTGACTAAACAGTTCCATTTAGTATTTGTCAACTTTGTTGCAATGCTTTAACCTCCTAAAGCATAAATGCAGTATATATTTTCACCTCACAACAGCAAAGAGGTGTTGTCTCCATTGAGTTGAAAACACTTCTTGGTTAAAACCTTGGTTATATTTAGGTGAAAATACAATATATACGATACATACATCCAACAGAATGCTTGCTAGTATTTCCAAATGTTTTGGAAAGTCTATTACCAGTTAAATAATGTGTGCTGCAGCACCTCCTCTCACCCTCTGATTGGTTCGCTGGTTGTGATTGGTCAACCGCTTAGAGATGTCCCGCCCCTTAGCCTATCACGTACAATGTGTTGTAGCGCACGCCAATATAAGCGTGATTGTCTATGTTACGGAAGTAAACAAAGGAGTAAAATGGAAGTGTTTCAGGCAGGGTGGGAGTGAGAGAAACTCACTCTGGATGGAACTTTGGTATTTTAGCATTTGCAAGGCTAGTTTATTTATATAGCACATTTCAACAAAAGGCAATTCAAAGTGCTTGACAAAAATACATTAAGAGCATTAAGAAATAGTGCAGCAGAAACTTATTATAAAATGGCATTTTGAAACACTCATTTAAAAGCAAAGATAATAAAAAATGAATAAAAGTTACAGTGCCGTTTAAGATATGAATAGTTATTTGATTAAATCAAACGCAGTGGCAAAAAGAAAAGTCTTTAGCCTGGATTTAAAAGTAGTCAGAGTTGGTGCAGACCTGTAGGTTTCTGGGAGTTTGTTCCAGATATTTGGAGCATAATAACTGAACGCTGCTTCTCAGTGTTTAGTTTAGACTCTGGGGACAGAAAGCTGACCAGTCCCTGAAGACCTGAGAGATCTGGATGGTTCATCATTTAGCAGTTGGTCAGAAATATATGTTGCTTTATAAACCGGCAGCAGTATTTTGAAATCAACTCTTTGACAGACAGGAGCCAGTGTAAAGACTGTGAACTGGAGTGACTGCAGACCATTTACATGCACCAAAACCTGTATAACACATAACAGGAAAGGAAACGGCCCCAAATCCTAATAAGGCCTCTTTGGCTCTGATGAGGCATATCTGAAAACACCTATCTTTACTAAAAATACCCGCTTTCCGTCTGGTGATTAATCGACTGACGTTCACTGATGAGTTAAAATGACTCAAACCTGAAGCATAACTACTGCACACTTAAAAGGCATGACTGAAACATCTGTGTTTTTTGTATTCCTCTTAAAACTGGAAAAGCACCATTTGGAGGGAAACGAGTAAAAAGATAAAATGACCAACAAGTTTCAAAGGTACATCCTCTTTCATCTATACATATATTTTCACTTGGCAATCGATACAATTAGATTTTCTCTTTTCATTTTCTACGGACTACATGGGTGTTTAAACAGTGTTTAACTAATATTAAAATAGGGCGCCTGAGGCAGCGGCCCTCCCCCGACTGAACCCCGCCCCCGTCCCTCTCCCTGCACCTATAGGTGACCCGCTTTAACTGCCTAAAGGTGGTAGCTGTCACCTCGAAACGGAGGTGCTGTCAGCCTCCGCCGCCAGTGTCTAAGTTAAACAGCTGGCAGTCGGCGGGCCGTCTCTGCCCCCCCGCCGCACACGCCTCCTGTTAAGGTGACAGACTGACAGATGTGCACCATGTTGGCTCCAGAGCTGCGTATAGACGCCTCATATCTCATTCCTGGATGAGATTACAGCTACAGCTCACATATCTGCACAGGGCATCCCCTGCCCCGTTCAGAGGTTAATGGTTAACTGCAAGGGAATATCTGAGAAAATGTGTTCAACCTGTTCTCCCATTGACCATGCAACTGTTGTCCTCCCGAGTCAACATTGAAGAGGACAGACAGAAGGTTAAGTATATTTTTCGGACTCTGCTTTTTTATTTGAATGAAATATTGGAACCTTCATTTCATTTGGACTTTTCTTAATTTTGTTTCCTCCTTCACTCCCTCTTACTTGTTAAATTATTTATTTATTTCTGTTCTTATACATCTTCTATCATATGCCTTTCCTTCTTGCTTGAATAGTTTTTTTTTTGCTTCATTCCTTTCTTTGCTCTCTCATATCCGTTCATTTAGTTCATCTTTCTTTTTTGCTTTGTCTCTTGCCTTTCCTTTATTCTGTCCATTATTTAGTTCCTTCATTCCCTGTCTTCGCCTCCTTCTCTCATTTGCTTCTTCCTCTCCTTTCTGTCTTTCCTATGTTTCCTTTCTGTGCCTCCTCCTTTACTTTCTTTCTTTCTTTCCTTTGTTTCGTCCCTGTGGTTCTTCCTCTTATTCATATACATTTGCTTCCTTCTCTTCTTCTTTACTCCCTTCCCCCTTGATCCTCTTTATTTCCTTTTTCCAATTGCTTTTTAGCCTCTTCCTCTTTATTGTTTGCTTGTCCCCCCCCCTCACTGCCGTGCATTATTTCTTTCCTTCTCTCTTTTTACCCTCCCTTCTTTTTTGCTTCTTACATACTTTCCTGATTGTGTCTATTCACTCGTCCTCTTTTCTTTCTCTCTTCTACCTTCCCCTTTATTAATCCTTTATCCCTACAGTCCCTCATGCCCCCTTCTTCCTTCTTTCCTGATAGTCTTTGCTTTCTTCTCTTATTTTTCTACCCGGAAACAAAGGGCAAAACCAGACAACACTCTTGATAATCAGCCCTTTCATTCGGTTCAGGAACCCCTTTTTCGGCTATTTGTCTATTTGATATTTGAATTCATGACTTGATTTAGCAAAAAGGGTATTTTCATATTGCAGTCCATGTACTTACATTAAAAGCTTTGTGTAGCAGCCTGCTCTGGCGGCTCTTATTTGCATTTCAAAGGTTGGACGCTTTACACAAACAAAACATTTGCAATAATTCCTTGAAAATCCACTGTTTCCTCAGACAAAGCACGTCTGAGAGTGAACCCCAAACCCAACTGTGCGTGTTACATTTAATTGTTTGCGTGGGAGCGTCGTAGTGAAATGAACAGTACAAACAGTGCACATTTGAATGTACGTCAGAGCTAACAAGCTGCTTAAGAAAGCTCCAAGTAATGTCATTAATATTCATGCATCCCTGATATAACATGGTACTCGGAGCCTTTTGTGGAGCCACACACACAAGTCTACCTGCTGGGCTGTGTGTGAGGCCACTGGCAAGGATTTATGTCTGATATCAGTGAGTGTGGGGGGAGAATGGTGTGTTCACTGCCTGTCCGTGTCTATTCCCAGTGATGGATTGTCTGTAGTGATGCAGCCATTTAACTGCTGCGGAACCTTGGTGGGTGTGTTCTGATGGAAGTGGCTGTCTCACAGGGGATGTTCAAACAGAATGAGATTCCTAAACCTGGATGAGAAACTGTACATCGATCAAAAGTGGTTGAGATGGTTTATGTTCAGGGTTGCCCGGTGGGAAAGTGCCAGAGGTGTGAAATATTTTTCCTTTTTGGCTTGTTTACCTTTATTGGATAGACTGGAATGGGGACGAAAGACGGGGGCGACAAGTAGCAAGGGCCAAGAGTTCATGAAGGAACATTTTCCTCAGATTATGATTATTTCAGGGCCAGTTTTTGTACCATTTCAACAGCCTGTCCTCCTCCAAAAAACGACCAAATAGGTTGATTGTTCAGCAGCTTATTACGACCTACAGTCACATTTGAAAGTTTATCACCTCTTATCGTCGTGTAAGAAACAACAATTTGCGGCATTTTTTCCAGTTTTTCCTGAAGTCTTCTCATCAGGGCTCTATAAATAAAGAACTACGGCAGATGTGTAATATTTAATGCAGCCGAACCGTGTATTACAATGCCGTTATGTGATGACTTTCAAAGAGAAAAGCAAGCACACTCGGAATAAAGTATTATATTGTTGTTTTTTTTTTATGTTTTCGAATTTCACATAGCATAAACACCATACCCCAACGTGCATTGCGGCTAAAACATCCAATCACCGAGCTTCAACGATAGCTGGGGATTATGGGTAGTTCAATGTTTTAGCCTATCAAAATAAATATGTCTCTCAGAATCGAAAGGGAAAAACCTATGGGAAAAACACAAAAGCATTGTACACAATTTAAACCAATTAATGTTGTGTAATTAACAAGGATAAACTGATGTTTTTTAGTGGATGAGTACTTTAGTTTAGGGGAATACGGTTTTATTATGACAACTTTGAGACCGGAAATACTGTTTCACATGGACGCTGCCGTTACACGTTCTCCTGGCAAGACTTCAAATCGTCTTCGTAATATCTATCAAACTATAGATCCTACACATCGACTGGAAGTGGATTATAAAAGTACAATATACACTTCTCACTAGAAATCTAATCAAAAAGCATTTCAATGGCCAAACTATCCTACAATTAAGGATTTTCCAGAGAGGGTTATTTAAGCAATAGCTCACTTCAGGAAGTGATATGCTCATTATATCACAGCTAAGGGGGTTGTCGACCCTCCGCTTCGCGTCGGGCCGAACCACGCCCCTTAGCTGTGATATAATGAGCATATCACGGCCTGAAGTGAGCTATTGCTTTTATAAAACGGTTACCAAGTGTGGCAATAGCCGTGGTATATGCTCATTAGCATATTCGGCCCGACGTGTGAAAAAAAACTACACACTCTAATTTAAATAGTTTTTATTAGTAAATAATGATGTTCAAAATAAAATAGTCCCTCCGTTGCCTTCTGCACAAAACTAGTGCGAGGTGGTTGCTATGCAACAACACTAACAGCTAGCGAACATATTAGACAGAGAGCGTTGATCCATTATTTGGCTGTTTATTTACATTAATGTGTATGTTGCTGTTTATTGTGCACCCACTGAAAAACTGTCCAGCATCAGTAGAATGGCTTACGTGGTCACTTGTATAGTTTGAGGTTGTTCTAGGCTATTGCTTGGCGTGGCGCGAATATTGCTCCACTTTCTCCGGTCCCCGAGATTCGGCTTCCAGTAGCTCTGGAGAGAGCTTTCGCACCTGTGGCCACTAACGGTCATAATTTCTCTGCTTTGTTTCAAGACCCGCATCAGAAAGCTTTTGAATGGTGGTACTTTTCCAGTTCGTCTACCTGCTCTTCACGTAGCTCTGCATGTCGTCGTTTAGGTGCTTTTTTTTCCTGTCCAGGCACTGCTCAATCCACTCCTCCATAGTAAGACCCCCCCGGAGGTCGAAGTTAATCTTAAATGTTTCCATCTTATGCTTTGTAAGTTTGTTTCGTAACGGAAGAAATGTAAATATATTTATAAAACTGACAAGTCAAATCAAGCAATCTGATTGGTCGATAGTGTTTTTGCGGACCTCTTTGATTACAGATTTGAAAACATCGTTGCTTGCTTTAAAAGTAGCACAATTCATTATGTCAAACCTTGGAAAGTGTCTAGATATCCCTGCCCTAATGCCAAAGGAACTGCACACTGAATATGTTTTGCTGTTTGATGTCTATGTCTGGACCGCTGCGTAAAAAGGAGGGTTTCTGCTCCGTTACTTCTCCGCTGATGTCTTGTTCCAGTATGAAAAGCAAACTGCAGGCAGTTTGCTTTTCAGCCCAACGGTATACTGTTTTTCTCAGACGCGGAGGGATACTGACTTGTTGTGAAACGTAACTTACAATTCTACCCGTGGTATACGCTCATCATATCACGGCTAAGAAGAACCAATCAGATTGCTTGATTTGACTTGACCGTTTTATAATTGTGAATAAACGACCCTCCGCAGCGTTTGCAGTCAACAGGAGCACTAGAGGTCGAAAACTTTAATACGTGATTATAGGTCGTAATAAGGGCTTGAACAAACACCCTACATCTAGTTGGTCGTATGAGTTGGAGGACTTGCTGCATTTGAACTATTTGGAGCCCCAAAATGATTGTATTTGAAAGAAAATCCTAGTAAATACCGTGAAAAACTGTAAAACAGTGTTTCTTTGTTATTTTGTTTCTTTTTAAAGCCGACTATTAATGAATTACAAAACAGAACAGGGATGCCTCTTTATTTTCTGCATGAATTAAATAAATAGATTAAAGCCATAATCTACAATTACTGAATAAATTGGTTTACTGATGCATTCAATGCTGTCCCTCATGCAAGCTCACTTCAAATGAGCGTCGAGCGGCTTGAGAGAGAAGGACAGCCGTGATAGTGAGTCATTTTCATTTAAATCACAGCATACAACAAGCATGACTGACTGGAACAGGTCGCATGAGAAGAGATGCTTGAATACAACATCATCAAGAAATGATTTAAAATGAGATTGTAAGAATTAATGAATTATGGTTTATGGCTTCTGTTGGCATTGTTGATTTTACAGAGGGCAAAATTATCGCACAAATACATTTTTATCGTAATATGTCAGCATTTATGTTGGAAATACATTTCTGTCTTTGGCAAAAAAGGAAGAAGAATTATTTTACCCACGTCCAAGATGTTTCCCTAACCTTTACCAAGAGGTATTCATTGTTAAAACAGAATTAAATCCTCACCCTTGCCTACTGTATAGGTAGAAGATCCTTAAAACACCCATATTAATTATTTTTTGAAAAGCAATATATTGACAAGAAAGAGTGAAAATAGCACATCGCCACTGCCAAGTTGACATTCTCCTGGAGCCTTTTTTAGTCTTATTAGACAAGGCTCAGAGATGGAACAATACATTTGCTTAATTTGGAGAAAACCAGCTTGAATTGTCGATCCTTAAGATGTCCGTCTAGTTTAATTTAGAATTGTGTTAACAGAAAATAATGGACTTAACACAGCATTTTTCCGGAATGACACCACTGGCCTACACTTATGCTGCAAATGTATAAATATTGTAATACTTTCATCAATGCGCCATATGCTCGATCACCATTGTGTTACCTCACTCAGCGATAGATAATGACTTAATAGAGATTAACTTAAATTAAAATCATCGAGATTGCCACTTTAACTTTAATGGACTTGTATAAGATCACACTGATCTGCACCTCAGGTTAATTTAGGTGAAGTCAATTTGATTTCAATAGCCCAAAAGTCTGTTTCAATTGGTGTGTTTGTTTACTTCTTAAAAGTAAAACTCAAAAATGCACAAAGAAGAGAAAAAACTAATCTTACCATTGACATATTTATTTGATTCTCAAAGGTATTCGATTGGTGCTAGTAAGAAAACAAGTTGAGAAAATAATAGACAGATAATTCTTTCCTTTTAATAGCAAGCACTCCCGGAAAATGTCCGAGGTTAAACGCTCCTGTGGTGTGCTCTTAGTGAACATCTCCCAGAAATGTTGTGTACCAACATTCCCCTCGTCCTCCAGGCCTTCTTCATCTCTCTCCTTGCCTTCTCCGCCTGTGGCATCCACTGATGTGCATCCTGCTTAATTACTTTTTCATGAGTTGCTCCCTGTTTTTTGTCCCGAGGGAATTGCTTTCCAGCCCTCATCCCAATCCACTTAAGGTGACCTTGTCTTATTGGGACGCACTGCTGCAGTGCTCCCAGCCCCCTACCCCCCCCC